GTGGATTGCCAGTTATTATTTCCTTCACCTTTAGGTGTTCTTTCACCAGCGCAGCAACGCCACCGCCTTTCCTAATTTTTCTGTCCCGTCTCCAAATTGAGTAGCCCCTTCTTGGGAATATGACCTCATTTTAAATAACATCTTCAAGTTTTCTCCGTGAGTGCAACAATGTCTGGTGTCTGCAGCTGTATTACATCACTTAACTCCAGTATCTTCGATTTCACTCCATCTATGGTGGTGTATTGTTCCCCCTCTCTATTGATTTTGTTGGTTTGCCTTTATGTACCACTTTACTGGTCTGCCTACCCCTAACACTTTGTAGAAAAAAAATGATTTCTTCATTCCTGCTCTCATTTAAACGTTTTGCCTCGGCAAGGTTAAGTTTCAGCTTCTCTCTGTCTTCTTTTGAAAGATCTCGTCTTAACGACCACACTTTCCCATCCTCATCACTTTGTAATTTTCTAGCATTCCTTAGTACTTCTTCCATCTGTTTGGCACCGTTTAGGGTGATCCTCAAAGGTCGCTCTTTCCCTTTTACGTATCTGCCTATTCTCCTGTAGTCGCACACATCCTCTATGGTAGTAAGACCTTCTTCGAGGCCAACAATTTTATCTACGACTTTTGCTTCTTCTACAGCTCTTTCTGACCTAGATGTTATCTCCTTTTCTTTGCAACCAAAAATTATCAGGGACTTACTCTGATCAACTGAGTTTTGCACCAACTTCGGATTAGATGCCAATTCTTTTCTCACTTCCAGCCTAATGTTTGTTTTATCTTGGTTGCTGCGGTGTTTGGCTTCCTTTACTGCTTCTTCAATTATTTCCTTCTCCTTGGCCACTTGTGCATAGGTGAGTTGCATATCTTTCTTGCACTGTTCTATTCCCTGTGTAACTTCCTCCATCTGTGCTGACAAAAGCTGTTTCTCCTGTTGAATTTCCTTACCTAACCTATTGTAGTCATTTATGTTTAAATTTACTTTAACTTCTTCCAAAGCTATTTTTAAGAGTTTATTTTCTTCTTCCATGGCTTTGCAATTTGTTTCCAATTGATTCTTATTCTTGCACAAGTCTTTCACTAAACCATCAAGACATAAAACTCTGCTATTCAAATGGCCATTACTTTCTTTCAATTTGCTAATTATTTCTACATCAGATTCAGATTCAGATTCAGATGTTTATTCAGGTAAGGTATATACATACAAGTGATGTTACATTAATGGATTGATATATAGATAGAGCTAGTACATACAATGCCTAAAGCCACTATTACGCAATGCGTTTCGGGCAAAAATGCGTTTCGTCACATGAGAGTTCACTATAGTATCTAATTTTACCAATTTGTCATGTAGACTACTAATATCAATGCTTTCTTCACTGAATTCAGCAAAATCAAGCTCTGTTTTGTTTTTCCTCTTGCCGGCAGCCATCTTGAATGTTCTTTGCACTGGAAACACTAGGGCAACTTTTTCTCATCCAGTTTTTCACTTCCCTTAGCACATTCCTGTTATCTCGCTTATTTTTCAAAAGCACTATACCTTTATGCTCTCTGGGACACCACTCACTATCATCAACCTGTACTACAATACTTAGGATTGTTGAAATATGCTGGAGCTCCTCTGATGAAAGTGTTGATCCTAGGGGTGTCACCTTTTGAATCCCAAATTTAAGTAAGGTGACGAACTGGTGACCCTCAGAACTCTGGCGGTCATCCACACAACCTGGCCATGACATGATATGTGGTATACGAGGTGCTTGCACTGTCTGCGGGCGGATGTTGATTCTGATCACCCACTCCTGCTCCTACTGTTCCTTTTCGTTGGGACAGGAGGTGCTTGTTTTCCGGTCCTGGCTACGGCTTTTGTTCCTTTCAGGGACATTCCTGTTGTTTTAGTGTGGTGCGCGTCCTGCGTAGTACTTCTGCGTAGTACTTCTCATATATACCTCGGTGACACATGCATTGTTCTTCCCTGCTGGAGCTGGTTGCACTGTTCCTACGGATTGTGGGGTCATTGTTTTTCGCTTTGCGTTTCGGTTCGTGGTCCTTGTTTCTTTGTTGGCGTCTTCCTGGTTCCCATTCCTTCTGGTTCTTTGCCAACCTTGGTTGTGGGCACTTCTTTGCTAGGTATCCGATCCTGAGGGTCTTCCCGTGGCTTCGCCTCTTTTTTACGGATTGGTCCAGCCCAGTACGCGGCTGGTTCGTTCTTCCCTTCGAGTCTTCGCGTCTCAGGGTTTTTGTCTCGTGTTCTCGTCACTTGTGTGGGTGCTGGTGGCTTCGTTGTTGGTCTCCCACCTGCGTGCTTCGTCTCGGCGGCAGTGTGTAGTTTCATGGCGGTCCTTCCGGTTTTCCTATCACTGTGTAGGTGTACTATGGTCTCTGATAGTGTTGTCTTGTCCTTCCCTTTGGGGTTGTTCCAGGACTGTTGTTGGTGCCTGGTACTGTGGCCTCATATTGGACGGCTCTGGCAGGGCCACTCCAGCTTGCGTTTGGTGTTGCTGTTCTTTCTGCTCCGTTCCGCTAGCTGTCTAGTTTGTTTTTTCACCTCTGGCCTGTTCATGCGCTTCCAGTGCTGTCCTGGGCGTTGGCCCGGATGGTCTAACTTCTTTCTTCTCCTCGGGTTTGTCGTGACCCCTTTGGCTCTGGTGTGTTTTTTCTGCTTGTTTGGACCTGATGGTAGGTTGTTCGTTTGCTGCGGTCTCCTCCTTTTCGGGTGAAGTTTGGGTCTGCTGTTTTCCGGAGGGGTCCTTGGGTTGCTGCTTGGTTGGTCAAAACAGGGGTGCTTCGTGTGTTGTGTTCGGTTTCGGTTCTTCGCCATTTTCTGCACGTCTCGGCTTCTGGGGTCGTGGGCGCGTTTGGTTTGCCTGGGTTCCCTTCCCTTCCTTCCTTCCTTCCTTCCTTCCTTCCTTCCTTCCTTCCTTCCTTCCTTCCTTCCTTCCTTCCTTCCTTCCTTCCTTCCTTCCTTCCTTCCTTCCTTCCTTCCTTCCTTCCTTCCTTCCTTCCTTCCTTCCTTCCTTCCTTCCTTCCTTCCTTCCTTCCCTCCTTCCTTCCTTCCCTCCTTCCTTCCCTTCCTTCCCTTCCTTCCTTCCTTCCTTCCTTCCTTCCTTCCTCCCCTTCCTTCCTCCCCTTCCTTCCTTCCCTCCTTCCTTCCTTCCTTCCTTCCTGTTCTGGGGTTAGGGTCTCCTGGGTTGTCTGAGGGGTCCTTTGGTTTGGCGTGTGGCGTCCACCTCCCGGTTCCTTCCCTCTTTTCCTTATCTGTGGTGAGGTAGCTCTGGGTAGCCGACGGGGCTCCCCCCAGAAAACCAGCGTTGAATGTAATGAAACGCCATTTTCTGGGTGAGTACTGGAGGCTCCCCGGCATCCCTCCCTCCCTCCCTCCGGTCGGCGGTATTTTTAGCGTATTTTGACATCCAGCCTAAGAACTGCAAGTTGGATCACCGGCGCAGAGGGTTTGGGGCTCCCCTTTCCCCCTCCCGGGGAGAGGGGGGCGGTTTGCTCAGATGATGGCTCGGTGACGTGATGACGTCATACTAGTTTGCTAATTTTGTTTAGGGAGTTCTGTCCACTCATTCGGCTTTCGGTAGCAATATTTTCACCAAAATGAAAAAAAAATGAGGATCTGAAACATAATACAGGGTACAAAACACAATCGAATCTGCCCATAGTAGGAAAACAGCATGTCGAGGATTTGGGAATAATGATGTCCGATGATCTAACGTTTAGGGAACATAACCAAGCAAATATTGCATCAGCCAGAAAAATGATAGGATGGAATACGAGAACTTTCAAATCCAGGGATCCCATCACAATGGTTGTTCTCTTCAAGTCACTTGTGTTGTCCCGTCTCGAGTACTGCTCAGTACTCGCTTCCCCCTTCAGAGCAGGAGAGATTGCTGAAATAGAGGGAATACAGAGAACATATACGGCACGCATAGATGAGATAAAGCACCTAAATTATTGGGATCGTCTCAAAGCTCTCCAAATGTACTCTCTAGAAAGGAGACGAGAGAGATACCAAATAATATACATATGGAAAATACTGGAGGGCCAGGTCCCAAATCTACACAGTAAAATAACAACGAACTGGAGTGAATGATATGGAAGAAAATGCAGGATTGAACCAGTGAAGAGCAGAGGTGCCATAGGCACAGAGAGCACTGTATAAACATCAGAGGTCCGCGGTTGTTAAACGTCCTCCCAGCGACTATAAGAAATATTGCCGGAACAACCGTGGACATCTTCAAGAGAAAACTGGACTGTTTTATAAGAGAAGTTCCGGATCAGCTGGGCTGTGGTGGGTATGTGGGCCTGCGGGCCGCTCCAAGCAACAGCCTGGTGGATCAAACTCTCACAAGTTGAGCCTGGTCTCGGGCCGGGCTTGGGAGTAGAAGAACTCCCTGAACCCCATCAAGCAGGTATCAAGCAGGTACCAGAATAGGGGGTTTGTTTTGGGGCGCCTACCTTTCTGGGTGCCTATCCCGGTTGATGGCAGACATAGAATGCTCCCAACCACAAGGGGGCTTCTATAGGCCATTGCTCCTCATGCCTCTCTGAGGGGGCCCAGGTTCCGATTCGTGGTCCTCGGTAGGCAAGAACTCCATGCACTTCGACTGATACCAGAAAGTTCTACATATCCATTCAGTCTGGACAGCTCCGGGGAGCATCTGGGACTCACCCAGAAAAATGGCGTTTCATTATATTCAACTTTGGTTTTTTGGTTTGGGTGATAATTGCAATCTTCTGCCTCTATGTAGGGGGTCAAGGTTTTGGTATTTTGTCATAATACCAAATCTTTTGATAATCTTTTCCAGTTGTACTTTAACTTGATACTTGATACTTGTATTTTACGAGTGGAATAAATTTTTTTTTTAATGTTTGTAAAGCTTGCCTGAATGACTGGATAAAATAGATTTAAGGAAATTAGATTTTGTAATTGTGTTTATAGTAACAAGATGTTTCCAATTTTTCAAAATAACTATTTTCTTCGTGTTCTCTTTATTAATTAGATGAAAACTTTGACATGGACCACAGTGATCCTTTTCTGCTCTCCATGGCCAATCGTGGCAAAGATACAAATGGCTCCCAGTTCTTTATGTGAGTATATCATTAATGTAAAATCCAAGTGTTGGTATTTATATTAGTTAAGTGTGATCGAACATCAGAAAATGCTGTATCCTATATTTAAAATTAAATGTATGAAAGACTATATTTTGGCTAGAAAATATTTTCTTCTAAGAAATTATAACCCACACATTAAGTGAAAGTAACTGTTTTGGTCTGTTTTTAACCATCTTGAAGTTGGCTTGATAATGAGTGCAAACTTGGCATAAATGTCATCATTTTTTCACTCTTTGAATGTGTGGGCTAAATGTTTATCTGTTGCACCATATTATTTTGACTTTCAGTACTCATTAAAGTACTGTCTTCTCTCGTTTATCTGGATTATATGGGACCCACCTCTCAGCGGTTAATCCAGACATCCGGATAAACAGGAATTCTTACCATGAAAACCCAAAAATACTGTATTCACAAATTTTTGTACCACAACCAACATAATTTGTATTTCCACACACTATACATGATTAGAGGAAGATTTTCATACACCAGTACAGTACTGTACCTCAGTATTGAAACCATTTTGTGACATAAATTCCGGCTTACCTTGTTGGAGTTTATCTGCTTCAGAATTTTTATTTACCTAACCTAACATAATACTAAAATTTCTGTACTGTACATGAGCTTTCTGTGCCTTTATATCACAAATGGTACTCACGTCTATGACTACCTACCTGTTGAAGATTCCAGGGAATCAATGTCCCCATAGTCCAGTCTCTGACCAAGGCCTTCTAATTGCTGGGCTGATCCACCAGGCTGTTTGATGTGGCTGCTCTCAGCCTGATGTATGACTCACAGCCTAGTTGAAATTGAAATTGAAATAAGTTTATTGAGGTAAAATACACACAAAGGGATGAGGTAGTTGATTAGTTGATCTGGTATCCTTTGAAGGTGCTTGTCAAGTTCTCTTTTGAACATTGTGAGAGGTCAGCCAGTTATGCCCCATATGTGTAGCAGAAGAGTGTTGAAAAGTCTTGATGTTGATCGAATTCTGTCTCAGCATGCCTATTGCACCTCTTCTCTTCTGTGAGGCTATTTTGCACATCCTGCCATGCCTTCTGGTCTCATGTGGTATTATTTCTGTGTGCAGATTTGGAACCAGTCCTAATATTTTCCAAGTGTAGATTATTATGTATCTCTCCTGCCTGCACTCTAGGGAATACAGATTTAAAACTTAGGCAGTGACGTAAAGGTTGGGGTTTCACACTTCCAAAACTAAGTTTGGGAAGCGAGGAAGTGGCCCGCCAGGTTTCGTGCCGGCCCGGGGTAGTGGGTGGGTGGGAGATAGCCTAGTTTACCCATGGACTGTCGGGCACCACTCTAGTGCCTTCTACCCTGTGATGTCATGGATTCATGGCTCATTGTTCTCATTTTGATTTGTCATGAGACTGGAGTGTTCATTCCGTGTCTTGTTGGATATATCTGCACAATCTAGGAACATCTGTGCACCATGTCAGCTCCAAATACACACATAATTTCAGTGATGGCTGACTGGTGGGTGGATGGGCGGGCAGGGAGGGTGGCTGGAGGGGAAAATGGGATGACTGGCAGGCAGCGTTAGCAAGTGGGTGGGCAGGCTTGCTATCTGGTGGGCGGGTAGGTAGGTGGATGGATTGGTGGCCAGCTGGAAGGCAGGCAGAGTGGGTAGGTGCATGGGCAGGGAAGATGGTTGGGTTGGCGGACTGGCTGGGTGAGTGGGCGGGCTGGCAGTGTGGATGGATGGCTGACTGGTGAGCAGGCTGAGTGGGTAAGTTAAAGGGTGGGCAGGCTGGCTGGGTGGGTTTGGGGGAGGGGGCGGTCTTTGGTGGGTTTGGGCAAACAGTCTTGGGTGGGTTCGGGCGGGTGTTCTTGGGTAGGTTCGAGCAGGCAGTCTTGGGTGAGTTCGAGCGGATAGGTGGGTTCGGGCGGGTAGGCATGCTTGGGTGGGTTCGGGCGGGTTCAGGCGAGTAGGTGGTCTTGGGTGAGTTCGGGCGGGTAGGCAGGCTTGGGTGGGTAGGTGGGCTTGGGTGGGTTCGGGCGGGCAGGCGGAATATCATAAACTGGCTGTGGTCACACCACATCCCCTCAACTCCCCCATCCCTGCTACATCCAACCCCCCCCCCCCACTCTCCCAATCCCCACACCAGATCCTCCCAGAAATATCCTCCAACCCCCAGGCACGTGTAGACGGGTATTAATATGGTTCAGATTTTTGGCTACCTTCCTACCAGACGGTGGCCTTGGAGGCATACTGTCCTGACTGACTGACTGATTACCCTGACTTACTTGTATACAAGAAGATACATTGGGTTTATGAGAGTACATAACATTGGTGTTTTGTAAACATCAGACTCATGTTGTTTACAATCTGTGACTGGTTGCTACCACAACTGTGAATGCCTAACAGCCTTTGACTGGTTATGCCTGACTGACTTGTGACTGAATGCCTGACTGACCAGTACAATTTGTATATGAAGTTTTTGAAAACGAGATCATAGGGAATGAAACAAATGTCAATTAAAAAGTCTTTTGCAAAGGCTGCCAAGAAAGCTCGCATTGCCTCACCTGCACCTGACTCATTACATATTGACCCAAATGCATCAACATCTGAGGTTACCTTATCACCATTATTCTCCAATAATTATTAATTAGTTATATTATTATTATAATAATAATTATAATAATAATTGGGTTAATTACTAATTATTACTTTTCCTTCTGCTTGGTCTTGAAGAAGTCGGCCTCGGGTGAAAGGGGGCTGTGACGATCTCTGCCTGGAACCTATAAGTGTGGGGCTTGTAAGTCCACCTTTTGGGGCTCAGAGCCCAAGCTCTGCTTCGGGAGGCTGGGGTCGTTCTTACCCTTGATGGGTGGCTCTTCTTTGGTCCCAACCATGGCAGTCTTCGGTTTGGAGTCCCTGTGTCTTATTTTACCAACTTTGAGGTTAACTCTGGAACTGAAGCCACTAGGGCAGTTTGTTGTTGCCATCAACCTCGTTCTGACAGTTCCTGCGACGGGGCTGGAACCAATTGTATTGGCGTTTGCCTTTCCATTGGAGACTTTCGGCGCCATGAAGAAGGGGGGACCTGCTGCTTAGGTGACAGCTTCTTCATATCAACCTACTCTTGCTTTGCGTCCTGGAGAGGCCATTTCAGACTGACAACCAGAGCGCAACTCCATAGTCGCCTATGACTGATGGATGCCTACTACTAATACTATTATTCTCCACTTCAATCAACCCAACACCATCAACATTCACCACCACCTCTTCTATGTAAATAACTATGCTACATCAACAATGATCATCAACATAACAAGTAGATCAGGACTTCTTTTATTGGTGAGTACAAACAAAATACTGTCGCATTTATGCTTTGAATCTGTCAATTTTTTCCGTTAGATTTTCCCCCTACATTTCTCCCCCCCCCCCCCCCCCCCCCCCTTCATTTCTCATTGATTTTTCCCTACATTTCTCATTTACGAACTTACACTGTAACCAATGGATCTCATCCCTGAGGGGGTCGCAAACCAAGTGGTTGTCTATATATACATATTTTTAAATATATAAGGAGTACCACCTCTGGTTGTGTTTGTAGGGATCCGTGACCTTGAAGAAGACGATATGTAGCATCTGGGGAAGCCTTGTGTGGCATTCGCGTACACTAATACATTGTCTTCTCTTACCACCCCCTATATTTTTGTTATTTTGTTATTTTATTTTATTTTAGTTAAAACTTCATAATATACTTAAAACTTCATTTTATTTTAACTTATATTACATTATTGTATATACATATATTATTTTCTTAGATCAAACAAATAGTGTTCTTGCTGTTATTACACTATATACGCACATTGTATATCACTGTCAACATTTATATGCACCATAACAAACTAATGAGCAGTTCTGGTGGGTATGGTGATAAAATCAAATCACAGCATGAAGCTACAAACAGAACACCAGCAGTCACATGATGTAAGATAATGCCTCCAATATTCTACACAATTTGCAATGACTAGCTACAAAACTGCTGTTATTATCACATTCCTGTCAGAAAATCCCGAATACGAATCCATTTCAACAGGGTTATATTGTGAAGGAACATAAGGTCATGTCATTAAGCATAGATGCAGGAAACAATAGCTGGGTGCTGTGTCTTTACCTCATGCTGTTAATATAACTAGCATTGTATTCACTGATATCTGAACATTGTACATAGTCTTTATCACAATCAGGATCATTTATGACACTATCAACACAAAATAATTTAAGTTACCTATTTTATTCATCATTACTAAGTGGTACTGTGGCCCCTAGCTGCACAGCGGTGCTTTGAGCTGGTCCTACACGCACCAGCCTTGGTCGCTCTCTCAGTACTAAGGCTGTCACAGCCAGCACAGATTCTGACGATATTTTTTCAAGATGGCGTCTGTTTATAGAAGTCCTGAGGCATAGGATGAGAGCCCCATGTACCCACGGGAGGTTTTAATCGCTTCCTATACTTAAAAGCGCCACCCCCGATCGGGCGCCTTAAAGCGCTCTGTACAGTGCAGTGGTTAAACCACTGAATCATGATATGCTAAAAGCAATGTAACCTGGGATTCAGCTGAATTCACTAGGGGTCTTGAGGCATTGAGCTACTAATCAAATCAAGTTTTTACTCATTACCTGCATACACTCTGTGTGGTATAGGAATTCTTCCACAATACGATTCCTTAAAATACACAATGAAATCACATTAATGTGTAATGGGGTTCAGTGGTTTAAATCACATACTTGGGAGTAACTATGATGCGGGTTCAAAATCCCTGCATGGCACCAATGGATTTTTTCATTAATACATCACATTAATGTGATTTGCATGTGTATTTGAAGAGAGTGTATGGTGGAAGAACTCTTACACCAAACCAGGGTCTTTGTAGGTAATGTGTAAAAACTTGATATTGTATCAGCTCGATGCCTCAAGACCCCCTAGTGGATTCAGTTGAATCCCAGGTTACATTACTTTTAGCATATCTGGATTGTACCTAGATGGGGTTCTGGGAGCTCTTCTATTTGGCCTGGCTTGACTTGTGAGAGCTTGGTCTAACAGGCTGTTGCTTGGAGCAGTTCACAGGCTCTCATATCCACTGCAACCCTGTTAGTCTGGCACTTTTTGCAGAAAACTGTCAAATTTTTCTTTAAATCTTCAACTTAAATATTACAATTTACATGCTGCAATATTTCAGTTTACATGCTGCAATGCATTTACATGCTGGCAATATTTCTTATACATGCTGGGAGGATATTGAACAACTGTGGACCTCTGATGTTCATACAGTGTTCCCTGATTGTCTATGGTATGTACCTCTACTCTTCACTGGCTCTATTCTTTATTTTCTTCCATGTCATTCACTCCAGTATGTTATTTTACTGTGTATATTTAGGACCTGGCCGTCTAGTATTTTCCATGTATATATTATTTGATACCTCTCTTGTCTCCTTTCTAAGAGTACATTTTGAGACCTTTGAGACAATCCCTATAGTTTAGGTGCTTTATCATGTCTATGCGTATGTGTTCTCTGTATTCCCTCTTTTTTTTCAGTAGTCTCTTCTACTCTGAAAGGGTTAGTTAGTATTGAGCAGTACTCAAGGCAGGACAACACAAGTGATATTAATAGTACAGTATAAACATTTTAATGGGATCCTTGGATTTGAACTTTGTTTCTCGTAATCCATCCTAACAATTTTCTAGCTGATGCTATATTTGCTTGGTTATGCTCCCTAATCATTAGGTCATCAGACATCATTATTCCTAAATCCTTTACATGTTGCATATCATGGCTCAGTGGTTTAAGGTGTGTGCTTGGGAGTACCCATGTTGCTGGTTCAAATCCCCACATGGCTCCCAATTGATTTTTTTGGATTATTCAGTAAATATAATTTTAATAATATGAGGACTGACTGGGAAAAGATAAAAAGCTTGCAAACATCCAAATGGAAACAATCTTATTTTTACCACATTAGAATAATATTTATTTTTATAATATCTATTTCAATATTTCAGTACTTTGGTTATAAAGTTGTGCTACAGTTAACAGAAGTATCCTGTATTTTCTTCTGTTGCATCAGCTAAGTCATGTTCTGGACACACACTTCACTGTAGTCAGTAACAAAATGTTTCCCCTACAGTCAGCTAGCAAGACAGCGGCAGCCGGGTGCGGGGTGACAACCGCCCCATGCCTTTGTCACTGTGTCAGACATTCACATTCTTCGTTATTCTACCGTAATGATCGTTTTGTCCTTCCTGTAGAACAACTCAACCGTCGACGCATCTTGATGGGTGAGTCAATAACATCAGTTTTTTATGCTCTTGTGTACATGAACGAATATTGCTTCTTGTTTCACAATGTTAATTTTGTATGTTGTAGATTTTATTGTTTATAATAAAAACATTCAGAGTTTATAGGTGAATATTTATTTGAGGTACAGTACTGTATATTTAAACTAGTAAAGAAATTGATTACAACTTTGGTCACAATATTGTTGTACAATACTAACTTGTAAGGTTAAATTAATATTCCATATATATATTTGTTATATTTGACAATAATAGATGTAATGGACCCAGTATTATAACTTTTTCTGCCTTTCTTAGTCATTCCATTTTTTATTTATTTTTTTTATAGGAAGCACGTGGTGTTTGGCCGAGTGGTGAGCGGACAGGAGGTCGTTGTGGCGATAGAAAATCTTCCCGTTGACAACCGCAGCCGTCCTCTTCAGCCTGCTGTAATTGCCAACTGTGGAGAATTGGTTCTTCAGCGATCCATTAAACTTAAAGGTAGATTTTAAAATGCTATTTGATACTAAAATGGTCAGTCATTCTTAACTCTTGCACTGTGTGTTAAAGTTTTCAATTCTTCTCCCTTATGCTCAGTTTAGAAAATTAAAAAAAATATAGCATTAAATGTAAATAAATTAAATTTTCTGTGGGGAGCCCCATTGGCTTCCTGAAGCTATCCATACCGACATGTGCCATATTAGTTTAGTGTCATCAGGCTTGGGAGTTCTAGTACCTGCCGGGGACCACGAACCAGAATTTGGCCCCCTCAGAGAGGCACATGGATCAATGGCCATATGAGCACTGTACATTTAAAGTATGTCATATCTGCCATCGACCGGGGTATACCCCCAGAAAGGTAGGCATAACAATACAAACCTCCAACTGGTGAAACATGTAACCTACATCTGAACAGAGCCAAAGAACTTCCCCCAAAAGTAAACAAGGAACCAAGCAAATCGTCATCCATCTAGCGCGCCCATTAACGAACGGGTGCGCTAGAACCCGCTCATTCGAGCCGGCAGCTCCACCCCTCAGTTTGTCGACTGATGTGGCTGATGTCAACACGTTTCCTCTGGCCTCGCTTTATTGACTGGCTTTTGCGTTTGTGGCTTTGCCAGCTTTGCGTGGTGTGGTGGCCAGATGTTCTTGGTATGCTGAGCTGCATGCACCTAGGGCCACCTTCCCTATGTGCCCGGTAAGTACTTCCCTTGTGTGTCAGGGTTTTCTTCCATCGAACATTCGGGTCTCACTTCTGTTTGAGGGCTTCGTTGTTTGGTGGTGTTCTCGCCCTTGGGGTCCATCGGGGTATTGGGGTTCCTGTCTTGGCCCAGGTAGGGAGTGGGTTAGTGGCTGGGTGGGGCGCACTGTGGCTGGCGCAGCCTGCATACAGTGGCGGCCAACGATTCTCTCTGGCGACTGGCTTGTTTGTGCGTATTGCTTCAGAGGCTTTTGTTTTGATTTGTTTTGGGTGTATTTGCTTCCTTTTGGCAGAGGTCGTCTGCATAGCTTCCCATTAGGCCTGCCTAGGTTGTGTTGGTGGTCCTCCTCTTTTGCCTTGAGGTTTCACCTGTGACTTCAGATTGTCAGTTTGCCTGCATCAGACAGGGTTTACCGGCATTGCTAGCAACAGTGCCTGGGCTTCCCGTAAGGATAAAGTACCCTACAGGAACTGGAAAACCCTGTTGGGCTCAGGGGGGTACCATGAATGCATCTTCCGAGCTCTGTCTCACCTTGTGAGATGTTGAAGGTTGTTCGTTACCTCTGCCTCGCGGTGATGATCATCTGTCCTGCCTCCATTACGCTGCCTGTTGGGTCTGTGACACCTACGACCCTGAGTCTTGCGAGATTTGTTCTCTGCGTGTTATTCAGTTTATCCATTCCTTGTCTGAGGATGTTAAGGGTCAGACAGCGGGTTCGTTGCATGCTAGGTATTCTTTGGTACAATGAGCCAGGTTGGTTGCCCGGTTGAAAGCCCCAGAGCTGCCCCGCTTGAGTTATAAGGACCAGGATTTAGGGGCGTTGGTTATGTCAATCATGGTTCAGTCCACACCCTTGCTTCCTTCACAGGTGGGTGTGGTTTGCCCTGCTTCCGGCTCCCAACTGTCTGATGGTTTTGGGGCTGGGGCAGGGTTTTGCTTGGGATGAGGCTCGGATAGTTTTGGGGGTTGCCCCTTTCGATTCGGGGATGGAGGTTGAGCCCCCATCAAGGGCTGATGGTTGATGGAGGCTGATGGAGGGGGATTGAACTCCACCCCCCCCCCCTTGAAGCTTTTCCCCAGGACTCTGCCTTCAAGGTTGGTGGGCGTGGATGAGGGTTATACCCCGGGGCCTGTGTCGGGTGTTTCCAGGGCTCATGAGTAGACCACTTAGAGTTCTTGGGCTCCTTTTGATCCTGCCAGGGGGCCCTTTTGCCTTCTGGGCAGGGTTTATTGTTGCAGGGCCGGGGGTTTGCATATCCTCCGTCCCTGTATGAATTTGAGTTGGGTGGTTGGGTGCAGTTCTTAACACCCCCCCCCCCCCCCCCCCACCCCCACCCCACTCCTGGGTTTGTTTCTGGGTGCCTTTGAGCTCCTCGGATTCCTTCCCCTGTGTAGGTTTGGGAGTCCCTCAGTGCTTACTTCCTGTGAGACCCGGTTTATGCCTCTATAATGGATTCGTCTTCACTTGAGTTTGGTTCTTCTCTCCTGTATTGGGTGCAGTACGAGGTTCTAGGTTCTGCTCTCTCGTGATGTGAATCTTGTGCAATTACAGGTACATGCTTAGGTTCCCTCTTTCGGCTTCCTTGGCGATGGATGACTATCGAACTCAGTCATTTAGCTTCAGTTTTGTGCTTCTTCAGTCTTCTGGAGATGTCCTCGGATTGGCTTTCAGATGATGTGGTGGTGTTGAGTGGTGGGGGGGGGGCCTTCAACCGGAGTTCTGGTTTTGGCTGCCTTGCTGAAGCTATTTGCGCTGATCCTCCAGGAGGCAGTGTCTATGTTTTTTACCTATCGTCTCACATTTCGGCAGGCTGTCCTTGCTCTCTCTTCAGATTCAGCTTGGGCCCTGGCTTTGCAGTCTTCATTCATCTTCATTTTGTTCCCTGTTATTTCCGGAGGACTGTGTTGCTCAGTTTCTGTCGGGAGCTTCTACTAGTTGCCACCCCATTTCATATTTGTTGGTGCTTGGGGGTAGGGGGGTAGGGGGGGGTATTCTTGCTCCGTTCGGAGTGATCGTACCAGAGCTTGGGTTTCGGTAGGTCGAGATGGGCCTTTGGTGTCAGTTTTGGAGCCAGTGTGTTCTCCGGTGCCTTCTTTGTCTGGTCGGGGTGGTGGTCTCTCTGTGCAGAAGTCGGCTTCTCGGAGGTTGTGTTGGCCCTGTCACGGGGCGCCCGGTTGATGAAGCGATCTGGTGGAGGCTTGCACTGCTTGCCCATGTCTGGTCCAACTATACGTGGGCTTTTTGCGTCGTCTTTTTCGGCCTTTGGTGGCGTTGGGCAGCTCCTTTTCCTTCTTCGGGGGGTTTGAAGCTGGTAGGGTGGGCTTCTTTCTCGTCTGTCGGGTCATCTTGGAGTGGGTTTGCTTGGGCATGATCTAAATGACTTTGTCCCTCGAGTGGGTTTCCCGCTTGTTTCTGGTTCTGAAACGGGACTGTGCGGCTCTTGAGTCATTCTGGACTTGTCCCATCTGAACTATTTGATTCCTTGCCCCTCTTTTTCGGATGACTACGTTGTTCCAAGTTAGGCTTCTTCTTGAACCGGGCGCTTGGATTATTTCTCTGGGCCTCACGGATACTAATTGGCATGTTCCTATTCATCTGGGGTTCAGGGATTGGTTAGGTTTCTTGGTCGGGCATCAGGCTTAGCGCTTTCGTTACCTTCCTTTCGGTCTGAATCTGACATTTCGCGTATTCACATGTTTAACCAGAGTCGTAGTGACCCATCTTCATCTGCTAGACATTAGGGATCTGGTCTTCCTCGACGACTTGCTGGTGTGGGCTCCCAGTCGGTCCGCTGTCTGTTTGGCAGGGATTTGGTTCTTTTCCAGCTCACCGGGTTCAGGTTCCTGGTGATTTGGAGGAAGTTCGTTCTGGTTCTGTCCCAGGTTCGGACCTGGCTAGGTCTTGTTTGGGACTCTCAGACCACTTCCTTGTTACTCCCTCCAGAGGTGTTGCTGCAGCTGCGGTCTACGCCTATGGCTATTTCTAGGGAGATCCCAGGTCACTCGGCAGTTGCTCAAGCAGTTGTGCAGGAGTTTGAAGTTGTTCAGGTTTGGCTTCGGCGTCTGTTCTGGTTCCTTTGGGGACGCTCTTTCCTCTTTTCTCGCGATCGCTGGGTACGTCCTCCGGGGGCCTTGCGAGGATTGCTGTGTTGCCGGCTTCCTCATCGGGTTTTTCGAGGCTCAGTGCCTTGGCGCCTACCCAAACCTTGGCTCAATGTGTCCTGTCGGGCTCATAGCACTGTATGGGAGTTTGCAGTGGTTTGGCTTTCGCTTCAGAGGGTTCGGTGCGCTCGGGGTTCGACCATCTGGCTCCATTCAGACTGTTCTCCGGTAGTACATTACCTGAACCACTGGGGTCTGTCCTCGTGCCCATATCGTTAGGTAGTTTGCTGCTTTGGCTGGTGTGTTTGGCAACATGTCTTGGGCTGATATTCGGGCACGCAGGTTTTGGAGGTCGAACAGGGTCCTGGCCGCCCGTTATTTGGTTAACGTCCCTGCTCTTGGGCGTCCCTGTGTTGCTTTAGGTCGCAGGTTGCAGCCAGTTGTCTCGACTTCGCACGAAGGTGTTTATGGCGGCCGCCTCCCGAGTAAGTCCCTTTTTTCCTTGTCCTTGGTTAGGTAGCTCCAGGGATCTGTAGGGGCTCCCCACAGTAAAGCAGCGTTGAATGTAATGAAACTCCATTTTCTGGGTGAGCCCCGGAGAGCCACTCCTGAGAGCTCCATTTTCTTCTTCTAATTCAAGTACTTTTCCTTCATGCTTTTTTAGCATGCCTTCAATTATCTCTAACCTGCCATGAAAACCTCCTTTCATTATATTTTGTGGTGTGAATCCTTTGAAACACTCATCTGTTGGTGTGTTTATATTTCCTGTGGTGGCGGCCATCTTTGTTATTGATGCTCTTTTGTTATGGAATATAAACTTTTCCAACACAGAATGTTCACTCACTTTCACTTATTTCTTGTATCTTATTAAATTTTTAAACTTCCCTATACCTTTATGTAACCTGGGACACCTCTTACTGCCCTCAACCTGTTCGCAATACTTAGGCAATTTGATATTCCTGGAGCCTGCTGTAGTGACTCCTGCCTCTTGGCGCTGCTGAACTGGTGTACTCATATAGATGACAGTAACATTAGGATCTAAGATCAACTTGTGCATAAAATGTATAGGTGAAACAAAACAATGACTCCAGAGAAACAGGGGCCACCTGGAGGTGAAAGAAGACCCTAGTCAACTTAAGAAAAGGATGTGAAAAGCATCCACCCCAAAAGCAAGTAAGAGAGTCTATAAAGGCCAAAGACTAAGAGGCTATAGTATTTTTCTTGAATGTGCACTCTACTAAAACCATGACAGAAAGGATATGAGCATCTGGATATGAGCAGGAGGAAGATGCAAATGCTACATTAGAAAGCCACATCTTGGGCCAAATAAAGGTGACAGTGGATAGGCCTTAATCTTAGACATGCTACTAAATGGCTTCCGGAACTATAAAACAAACTACTAGAAGAGGCTAGAAGTGTTAAATATGGTACGTCTAGAAAATAGAAGGAAATGAGTCAATATGATCATTAGATAAAAATTAATGACAGGAATCAACAAAATTGGAAAAGAAGAATTCCTGAAATCTACAACTTCAAGGACAAGTGGTCATAAATTCAAGTCAAGGAAACAAAGGTGCTGAAAATATATTAGAAAGTTCTCCATTGCAAACAGTGGTAGATGCTTGGAAGAAGTTTAGTTAAAAGGTGCTAGATGCCAAAGGACCATTAGTAGTTTCAAACTGGTATGTGACAAAAAGAGTACAGTACTGGGAGAATGAGACACCACAAATATAGCTCTCATCAAGTAACTACATTTAGGTAATTACTCTTATATAATTACTGCTCTCCTTAATCTTCAGAGCAAGGTGAACTTGCTTACCTTAATGAGACTTTCTCGCTCATTAAGTAGCCACCGAAGGACCCCATTATAAGTAGCCACTGACGGACCCCATTATAGATAGCCACTGAAGGACCCACCAAAAACAGAAGCATTTCATTTTATTCAGTGCTGCTTTTTCTTTTCCAGAAAAGAAGCATAAAAAGAAGAAAGAAAATATATCATCTGATTCTGACTGTGATAGTGAAAAGAAGAAAAAGAAGAAAAAGAAAAAGAAAGAGAGGAAGCAAAAGCACAAGAAAACTGAAAGGTAAATAATATCTTTTAATTATGTATCACTTTATCAATGGTCATTCTAGTAATATATAGATAACTAGGTCATCTATGCAGAGGTAGTGAGAAATTTATGTCTGTAGGTCATGTACATTTGGCCTGAATTTATATTTCAGATTTCATATTGTAATGTTGATAAATGTTTGGTTACGAGCAAGTTTTCTGGTACTATGCAATTCGCAAATTTTTTGTTAAACATTGCTATTATTGAACTTATATTATTTAGAAAACATTAATTCAAAAGCAATAAATTCATTGAGCACATTTAACCCCTGCAGTACACATAACACCTTAACCACTTTGCTGCGCCAGCCAATAAATCTCGTTTGCCCATTACTGTGCCAACCAAGAAAAAACTAGTTTTTTCGTATACAGTCGAAACGTGCTTGCGGTAAGTTGGATACGAAATGGACTCCTGGGACCTCCAGTGAGAGGCAGCCATCTTGAAAAAAAATCCCAGATTTCCCTAGGGCTGCTGGCAGGATCGGTTCTGAATGAGCAACCAAAGGTGGCGCATGTACTTATGGCTCCCAATCCCATCAGATGCGGTGTTGAAAGATCGCTCTCTGTCAGTGAGATTCAGACTTTATTGTTTGAAGAACATGAGTCATGATATAGGCACAATGAAGACCTAACACAAAGGTCGGATGCAAATGCTACAGCACCGATGAGGCTGATACAGTGAGTGTATCCAGTTGTAGCTGAGTGCCACCCATGCTCACCCATGTTATATCCAATTTTTTTTATAGATGATACATAGATGAATCGTTTTCTGGGTTCAGTGATGATGCATCTGATACAAGTAACATAGATGAACAGTGTTAATGGCTTCCATGGTGGTGTTTTCCATAGTTTTTTCTGTGGGGAGCCCCTACGGCTCCCTGGAGCTTATCGGGCTAATGTATGTTATATTAGACCGGGACATTAGCTAAGGAGTTCAGACCTCCCAGGGACCAGCGCCAGAACCTGGCCCCTTCAGAGAGGTTTCAGGGGGCAATGGCCCTGGAAAACCCCTTTGTGGTTGGGGTTTTCCTTATCTGCCATCGAACGGGGTTAGGCACCCAGAATGGTAGGCATAACAAAACAAACCCCACATGGTAAAAAACTAAAACAAAAAACCGAACAGAGAGGTAGAAACTCCCTACAATCACAAGGAAACAAGCAAACATCACACTTTACTGCCGCGCCGATTGTCTGCGCAGCCCTCCCCGCCCCGAGAGGGGGAGGGGGGAGCCCTGGACCTACCGCGCCGGCTGCCAAGCTTCAGTTCGTAAGCTAATGTCAACCAGGATAGACGCTTCTCTGGCCTCAGTTTCCTAGGCGGTGTTTGCCTTGTGTGGCGTTCACTGCCATGTGTTGTGTTGTGCGGTGGCCAGGAGTACCTCATCAGTGCCGGGGCTGCATGCACTTAGTGGCTGACTTCCCTAAGCGCCCTTCGAGTACTGCCCTTGCGTAACAGGGTTATCTTCCCTGGGGCGTTCGGGAACCAATCCCGTAGAGGTTCTTGCTGCTCGGCATTTGCCTTGCCCTTGGGGCCAGCTGGGGCTGGGGGCCCTTGTTTGCCCCTGGGTAGGGTTTGGTATTGTGCTGGTTAGGGTGTCAGGGTGTTGCACAGCCTGCCACCTAAGTGGTGACCGGTTCCTGTTGCTTCTGGAGATGGTGTACTTTTGCGGGGTTTTTGTTTTGTTTTTATTTTCATGCCTGGTGGGGGTCTGCCTAGTGTAGCTATAGTTCCACTGGTAGTGTTTGGCGGCCCTCTGCTAGGCCCCCGTGATTGTACACGTCGCAGGGGTTTTCATTGCTATCCTCTACCCTCTTGTTATGTTTGGGTTTCTTAACCGGTTAGCAACACCTTGCCCGGGCTTCCCGTAGCAGTCAGCCTACGGGCCCTGGAAACCCTTGTCTGGGCTCGGGGACTATTGAATGTGTCTTCCGGGTTCCAACCCGTCTTGTACGGGATCGTTGGTTGCTGTGCCCTTGTCTCCGAGTGACAGTCGCCACTTTTACCTCTGTCATGCTGCCTGTTGGGTCACTTACCCCTTGACCCAGAGTCTTGTGAGAGATTCTCTGCTTGTTCTCCTGATGTTATTACTGTTCAGAGTACAGGCGGCATCCATGTTGCAAGCTAGGTTAGGTTGCTGCAACATGCTAGGTTGGTTTCCCACTCGGATGCCCCGAGGCCGCCCCGTTTTGGTTAGGTGCTGTTCGCCGCTTTCCCTCCCTGTTCCCGGCTCCGGGCCGTCTGCGGGTTTCGGGGTCAGGACAGGGTTTAGTTGGGGCCGAGACTCGGGCGGTTTTCGGGGGCTGCCCTGTTCGGGTTGGGGGACGGAGGTTTTCGAGCCTGTTCCTCCTGCCAAGGCTTCTGGGTCTTACCAGTGGCCCTTTCTTGCTGCCTTTCCCATGGACTCTTGCTTTTCTTTAAGGACGGAGGGCTTGGAGGACGGCTCTGCCCCGGGGCCTCTGTTGCTGGTTCCCGGGGCTGTGGGGGATGCCTGCTAGCAGTTCTGGGGCGGTTTGCCCCTGCCTGGGTTTTCTGCTTTTGGGGGGAGTTTTTCGCCCATCCGGTCTGCTTGCTTTCCACTTTTGCTGGCGGGTTTTCGTATCTTTAGCGTCGGTCACAGCCCTCTGTCTGGCGGCCATTTTCGTTTGCCGGTTTCCCAGCGTGGCCACCAGGGCGGCGTTGTGGTTCGTTTACATGCGACTGGGTGTGCGAGCAACCTTCTTGGGTGAGTTTTCACCTTTTTTCAGGGGTTTTATTCTCCTGTTTTCGTTTCTTTGCTTTTCTGGTGTTTTCTGCCTGTTTCCTGTTCCTCTGGGAATGTTTGGGTGTTGATTTTACACCGGGTTTCCCTTTTTGTCTGTTTTGGGTCTGGGCCCTTGGGTTTGGGCTCAGTGTCCCTTGCTGTTCTGCTTGCTCCCACACCTTGTTTCTCGGTTTTCGGTCTGTTATGACTGTTTCCCTGGGGGTTCTGTCTGGGGGATGTGCTTTGCCCTCTGTGGTGGTTTGGGCTTCCCCTGGTTCGTTTCTGCGTTCCTTTGGGTTCTTTGGTTTTGTTCCGGAGGTTTCTTCCTCTTGGGCCCCTTTGTGGGTTCAGGGGGCTTTGTTTCCTCGTGTGACCCGGTTCTGCCTTCTGGAGTTCCGGGGTCTTCCTGGCTTGCTGACTGATCTTTTTGGGTCTTGGCACATGTTGTGGTCGTGCTGGGACTTTGAGGTTTTGTTGTCGAGGTGGGCCTTTTGATGCAGTTTTGTGCCTTCTTTGCCTGGCTGGCGTGGTGCTCTCTGCCCACTGGTCGGCGACTTGTACTTTTCTTTTAAAGTGTATGTGTACGCATGTACTTGTGTACGCTGTGTGTGTGTGCACATGTGTATACACACGTGTGTATGTATCTTGTGCACATACCTTGTGTGTATGTGTATATGTATTTGTATGTGTATATACATAATGTGTATATGTGTGTGTGTACTTTTTCTTTCGGGAGGGGCTCTGTTGATGGGGCACTGGGGGAGCAGCTTGCTCTGTTGCCTCTCGCATGGTCCCGCTGTTGGTGGGCACTTTTGGTTGTCTTCCGGCTTCTGGTGGCGTCGGTGGACGGCTTCCCCCCCTTTGGGGGGGTTCAGAGCTGGCGGGGTGGGCTTCTTTCCCTGCGCTTCATCGTGTCATCTTAGTGGGTGTGTTGGACGTGGTCGATCCGCCCATCCTTCTGGGGTTCCCGTCTGCTCTTTGCAGTCATGGACATTTCGCATCTGCGGTTCTTCTGGACTTCTTCAGTCTGCGCCCTGGATTCTATGCCCTCCTCCGAGAACTGTTGCCTCCTGTCCGGCTTCTGTTGGAGCCAGGTGCCTGGATGGTGGCCCTGGACCTCCAGGTCACTTCTTAGCACGTTCCTCTCCAGTTTTCCGGGACTGGCACAGTTGGTGGTGGGGCTTCAGGCTTGCTGCTTTTGTTGCCTTCCCTATTTTGTAATTGGCACTTGGTGTATTTTTTGCATCTTTACCGGATCTTAGTGCCCTGTCTGAGTTTGCTTGAGATTCGGTGTCTGGCCTACCTCGACGACTGGCTGGTGTGGGCTCCCAGTCAGTCTGCTTGTCTGCTCGCCAGGGGTGTGGTTCTTTCCAGATCGCCGGGTTTGGTTTCCTGGTGATCTGGAGGCCATTCCATCTGTTTCCGTCCCGAGTTCGGACCTGGGCCTTGTTTCGGGCTATTGGGCCACTCCTTGTGTTTCCCTCCAGAAGTGTTACTGTGGCTGTGGTCCCACCTTCGGCTGTACATGAGGGGGTCCCGGGTTGCTCACCGGTTGCTTGAGCAGTTGTGCGGGAGTCTGAACTTCGACGTGCTGGTCTGCCCGCGGGGTCGGGTTTGGCTTCGGCGTCTGTTTGGTTCAGATTATTGTGATTGTCTCTTTATTATTCGTCTCTTAAATTATCTCTAAGAGATCGTCTCTTAAATTATTGGGATCGTCTCAAAGCTCTCCAAATGTACTCACTAGAAAGAAGACAAGAGAGATATCAAATAATATACACCTGGAAGATACTGGAGGGCCAAGTACCAAATCTACACAGTAAAAAACAACGTACTGGAGTGAACGATATGGAAGAAAATGCAGAATAGAACCAGTGAAGAGCAGGGGTGCCATAGGCACAATCAGAGAACACTGTATAAACATCAGAGGTTCCCAGTTGTTCAACACCCTCCCAGCAAGCATAAGAAATATTGCCGGAACAACCGTGGACATTTTCAAGAGGAAACTAGATTTATTCCTCCAAGGAGTGCCGGACCAACCGGGCTGTGGTGGGTATGTGGCCCTGCGGGCAGCTCCAAGCAACAGCCTATTGGACCAAACTCTCACAAGTCAAGCCTAGCCTCGGGCCGGGCTTGGGGAGTAGAAGAACTCCCAGAACCCCATCAACCAGGTATCAACCAGGTTCCTTTGGAGACTTCCCTTCCGCCTCTTGCATTCGCTGGGTTCGTTCCTCCGGGGATCTTGTGTTGGTGCTGCGTCACCAGCTTCCTCTTTGGGGTTTTTGGGGTTCCGTGCCTTGGCACCTCCCCGAGCCTTCGCTTGATGTGTTCACGGACGGGTCATCTCTTGGCTGGGGCTTTGTGACCAGTGCTCACCAGGTCGGCCGGGGATGGTGGCGTCTGTCCGTCCGTCGGGCTCACAGCACGGTTCGGGAGTTCGTGGCTGTCTGGTTTGCGCTTCGGAGGGTTTGGGTCACTCGGTGCTCTACCATTCAGCTCCGTTCGGACTGTTCTCTGGCGGTTCTTGCCGGAACCACAGGGTTTCTCTTAGGTGTTGACCTTTGGGGTTGGTTCCGTAGTGGCTCATTTGCTGGATTCTCGGGGTTTGGCTAACCGTGAGGTTCATGTCTGGGGTTGTGTCCTGCGTCCTGGCGGACAGCTGTCTCGGTTCATTCCTCTGTTCGCGGATTGGCCAGTCGTTGCCAACTCGTTTTGTTGGCTCTGCCGGACGTATGGACTCCTGGCCATGGACGTCTTCGCATTGGCGTGGTCTAGCCGTCGCCCATTTTATGTGGCGCCCTTACCCACCTGCGAGGCGTTCACGGTGGATACTTTTCGGCAGGACTGGTCGAGGTGGGGGTACCTGTTCCTCTTCTCCCGGTCCAGCTGTTGCTTCGGGTTCTGGCTCGGTTGCAGCCCATTCCCACGAGAGCAGTCCTTATGGTTCCTTGGTGGCCGGCCCAGCTTTATTTTCAGACACTGCTTGATAGGTGTCCTGACCCGGGGCATTTTCCTGCGGCTCCGTCTCTTTCGGCAGGTCGAATCGGTCCTGTACGTGACTGGTTCAGCCTTCTCCTCGGCTCTTCGCGTCTGGTATTTTGACGCGGGTTTCACCATCTCTGTGGTGTTCAGGTGGCTTTGTTGACGGTGTCCCACCTGCGAGCTTCGTCTTGGCGACAGTATGACGTTTCGTACGCTTTCTTGTGTTTTGTTTCACCTCCGGCCTGTTCATGCATTGCCTGAGCCGTCCTGATCCTTGATCAGGGTGCCTTCTTATCTTCTCCTCAGTTTGTGGTAACCCTTTCGGTTCAGGTTTTTGCTCTTTGGTACTGGTGGTAGATTTGTATACGTGTGCAGCCTTTCTCCGTCCTGGCGACGGTCGAGACGGCTGCTTTCCGGAGGGGTTCTTGATGCTTGATGCAGGGCTCGGGTCTCCCAGGTCGTCCACAGAGTTTTTCAGTCTTCCAGCCTGCGGTCTGTCTTTGCGCCTGTGCTGTTCAGACGTTTGCAGCTTTTGCTGCTGTGTTAGTGACGTCTAGGGCTCATTTCGGGCGTAGGGATTTGAGGGTCGCACAGGTTCTTGGCCGCCCATTCTTTATGCGCTTCTGCTCCTGTGCGTTCTTGTTGCCTTGGGTCGCAGGTTGCAACCTGTTGTCTCAGCTTCGCGTTGCAGAGTTTGTGGTGGCCGCCTCCCGGGTTAGCCCTTTCTTTTCCTTCTCTTTGGGTATGAAGCTCCAGGGAGCCGTATGGGCTCCCCACAGAAAACCAGCATTGAATGTAATGAAACACCATTTTCTGGGTGAGCCCCGGAGGTTCCCTGGCAACCCTCCCTCCCACCGGTCGGCGGTTTTTTCGTGTTGGTTGAAGCTTAGCTTCCGAACTGAAGCTTGGCAGCCGGCGCGGTAGGTCTGGGGCTCCCCCCTCCCCCTCTCGGGGCGGGGAGGGCTGCGCGAACGATCGTCACGGCAGTAAAGTGTGATGTTTGCTTGTTTCCTTGTGATTGTAGGGAGTTTCTACCTCTCTGTTCGGTTTTTTGTTTTAGTTTTTTACCATGTGGGGTTTGTTTTGTTATGCCTACCTTTCTGGGTGCCTAACCCCGGTCGATGGCAGCATGAGCACAGCCGTTCCCAGCACGATAACAGCCGTACCCAACACAAGAACAGCCGTACCAAGCATGAGAGCAGCCGTACCCAGCACTAGAGCAGCCGTACCCAGCACGAGAACAGCCGTACCCAGCAAGAGAACAGCCGTACCCAGCACGAGAACAGCCGTACCCAGCAAGAGAACAGCCGTACCCAGCAAGAGAACAGCCGTACCAAGTACGAGAACAGCCGAACCCAGCACAAGAACAGCCGTACCCAGCACGAGAACAGCAATACCCAGCACGAGCACAGTTGAACCCAGTACTGGTACAACAGCAGCCAGCACAGCTCAGAAGCAGATGAACCCACAGCAGCAGAGAGCACCAGCAAAGCTGATGCAAACATCTAAAAACATCATGTGCGGCGTGAACAGTTAGAACAAGTGTTACATTTAAGTGTGTACACAGTGTTAATATTAATGTTGCAGTAATTTTAGTGTACAATAGTTTTCATAAACTGTATTGTAGTACTCAACATACAGCAGAACTACTTTTAATCAACACAGTGCTAACGACATAATGCACTACAGCACGTATTTACTGTAGAGCATTCACAACTTCACGAAACTTCAAGATGGACATAACTCCAACAATAAGGTAAATTTATGAGTTACAGTATTTTTTAGTAGAGAAGTAATATATAGGTACAGTATGTAATATGATAATGCATTTTTATTGTGTAGAAGAAAAATAAAAGGCACTGACACAAACGCCTCCTGAAGGTCACCTCTTGCAACGAATCCAACGCTCCAACGAGCTGGGGTTGGTCCCATATAGTACGTTGAATCGAGGTTGTACAGACAGAAGCTGTCTCTGATATTATAGATAGATATTATATTCTAATGGTTTGTGCTGATCCTTTTCATTGGACAGTCTCCAACACCACTAGCATATCACTCAAATTTCCAGATATTTATCTGACTGCTCTCATATGTACCTATTTAAAACTTGCTTTAAATTAATGTCTGTTGTGTGACAGAATTTTGAAGCAATTCGTGGAATGAATAATTATGCTTCTATATAATTGTTTGAACAGCTCTGGTGAGGATGGTGAAGTGAAGGATGATATCTCTGAATGTGATGACCAGGCCAAGTACTACAGCCACCCATTAGTTTCTGTGTCAGTTATTAATCCTGATGAAATCCCGGATGTTCCGAAAAATAGATTTTTATATCGTGCGGGACCAGAAAAAGATGGCGACAATGAAGGACGTCAGGAAAGAGGGAGGGAAAGGTCCCGTGCAACTGTGCGAGCCTATACCAAGAGTGGTCGTAAAGTTAAGGGAAGGGGATCCTTGGTAAGATATGTGTTTTGAGTTTCTTTTCATTTTAATTGTGAAATTTACATTTAAAAATGTGGTATAATGCATTAGTAGAAGGGGGTTGCCCTTTCACTCATACAAGGGTGAACTGTATGAGAGATGTTGTGAATAAATTTGGCAGTGATGATAGATGATATCAACTCTCATTTTTAAATAAGTTTGTTTTTTTGGTTGATTACATTGAAAGATATTCCCTAGTTACATACTACCATTTTGTGCTCTCCATGTAAATGTTTGTATTAATTCTTTCATTATCATTACCCTTTCTGGGGGGAGCCCCTTGTGGCTCTCTGAAGCTACTATGCTGTTTGCTAGACTACAAGGTACTATCTGTCGGGGAGTTCTTATTGGCCTACTGGGGACCACAAGCCAAAACCTGGCCCCCTCACAGAGGCATAGGGAGCAATAACACTGAAATTTGTATGCAAATTTATTCATGTCTACAACCACCATGGAAAGGCACCCAGAAAGCCAGTGTAACAAACCAGACACTGTAAGGTTAGAAACAAGCCCACAGCCTTAAAACAGCCAAAAGAACTCCCCATCAACGTAATCGAACAATAAAAAATTTGTGAAACTAGCACAAGCTAGTTCACCCCTCTCATTTGGGGGGAGGAGGGGAGCAGACCAGGTTGGCTGGCTGCTCTGTGTTGCTGAGTTTAGCTCTATTTTACTCTACAAGAGTCATAATTCCCTGATCTGTATATACCTTGAAGAGTGGGGAAGTAATTTTGTACATTTAAGGAGAGGCCTGAGATGTTGGTTGACTGCAGTTATGATTCCCCTAGCGATTTCCTCCGCCCTTTCTCGATGTGTTTATAGATGCCTCGGCTCTCGGCTGGGGGTTTGTGACCAGCGCTCACCAGTCCAGCTAGGGTAATTGATCTCCAGTCTTTTGTTGGGCTCACAGTATGGATCGAGAGTGTATGGCCATATTGTGTGTGGAGAAGAATAAGAGCTACAAATAGAGGTTAGAGGTGTTAAATATACCAAAGCTAGAAGATAGAAAAGGAGGTGATATGATCACTAGAGGCAGTTCCCTAACTATGAAAGTGTTACGTTCTGAGAAAGTGTTTGTAAAGCAGTTGTTCAGAATGCGAAATGAGATTTTCCATAGGTGCAATGCTATAAATTCCCCATTCTCGGGCAACCAAAGATCCTTAAAAACTGAAATTTTTCAGACATAATGAAAAAAAAGGCATATTATTTACCTTGAATGGCAGAGTTGTCCTGCTTGTAAAAGTTTGCAGTTCTTAATGAGTGAAGAGATCTCCAGTATCCACTTAATTTAAGGACCTCTAATTTACCATTTCGCCTGTTCTAATGACCGATTTTTAGATCTTTAACTGGCATATTATTTACAGTCATTGGCCGTTAAATCCAGAATACGGTATTGAGTTTACAGAGTCCGGTACGCGTTAAACTGGAGACCAGTGTTGTGTGTTTTCACAGCCTTGTCCTTGCTAGGCCAGCAGTTACATTTTCCCTTTACAGATTTCACTGCTTCTGTTATGCAGCATGTAGTCAGGGCTAGTCACAGTCACAACTAGTTAGCAGCAGCCATGGTCAAGTCACAGGCAGGCATTGTCACAAGTCAGTCAGTCATAACCAGTCAAAGGCTGTTAGGCATTCACAGTTTTGGTAGCAGTCAGTCACAGTTTGCAAGCAACATGAGTCTGATGTTGTTTATAGAACACCAATATTATGTACTCTCACAAACCCAATGTACCTTCTTGTATATAAGTAAGTCAGGGCAGTCAGTCAGGGCAGTCTTACCTCCATGGCCACCATCTGGTGGGAAGGTAGCCGAGAGTCTGAACCGTGAAAATACCATACGGACCATCTGCACACACCTGGAGGGGCGGAAGATATTTCTAGGAGGGTATGGTAAAGGGAGTAGGATGTACTCACCTAGTTGTGCTTGCAGGGGTTGAGCTCTGGCTCTTTGGTCCCGCCTCTCAACCGTCAATCAACAGGTTGATACCTGGTTGATGGGGTTCTGGGAGTTCTTCTACTCCCCAAGCCCGGCCCGAGGCCAGGCTTGACTTGTGAGAGTTTGGTCCACTAGGCCGTTGCTTGGAGTGGCCCGCAGGCCCACATACCCACCACAGCCCGGTTGGTCTGGCACTCCTTGGAGGAATAAATCTAGTTTCCTCTTGAAGATGTCCACGGTTGTTCCGGCAACATTTCTTATGCTTGCTGGGAGGACGTTGAACAACCGCGGACCTCTGATGTTTATACAGTGTTCTCTGATTGTGCCTATGGCACCTCTGCTCTTCACTGGTTCTATTCTACATTTTCTTCCATATCGTTCACTCCAGTACGTTGTTATTTTTCTGTGTAGATTTGGTACTTATATACTTTGGTACTTGGTAGGTGTACAGGTTCCTGAGCCTATTGGGCTCTATCATATCTACACTTGAAACTGTGTATGGAGTCAGCCTCCACCACATCACTTCCTAATGCATTCCATGGGATGCATGTAGTGGGGATGGGGGAGCTGAGGGGATGTGGTGTGACCACAGCCAGTCTGTGATAATCCGCTTGCCACCCTACCATCCAAGAGAAGAGAACCCACCTACCCACCCACCCGCCCAAGGGAACCCACCCAAGAACATCCAAAGCCTGCCCAAAACGCTTGCTCACCCACCTGAACCCACCCAAGCATGCCCAAAAAAGTCCACCCACCCGCCTGAATCCACCCAAGCCTGCCCACCTGCCTGAACCAACCCTAAAAAATCCCCCCAAGACCGCCCATCCCCCCCCTGAACCTGCCCTAAAAAATCCACCCAAGCCCGCCTGAAAAACTGCCTGAATCCACCCAAAAAAACATCCAAGCCCGAAAGTCCACCTGCCCGCCCCCACTCCCTCCAGCCAGCCAGTCAGCCAGCAGGCCAGTCTGTCAGCCAGCCAGCCAGCCAGCCAGCCAGCCAGCCAGCCAGCCAGCCAGCCAGCCAGCCAGCCAGTCAGCCAGTCAGCCAGTTATCCATTCATCCAATCATCCATGCAGCCAGCCCATTTGCCTGCCCACTCACCTATAAGCCAGTTAACCAGCCAGATCACACACCATCCATTAAGTTGCTCTCTCCGGATTTAACGACCTGGGTACAGCCCCATATAAGTTGTTAAATTGAGTGAATACTGGAGTTGATTGAGGAGATGGTGGAAGATGGCAATGCATGAGTGGTGGAGGAAAGCAGTATGACGTCAGTGGAGAGTAACGTTTCATAACATTCAATGCTCTGTTTTTATTTTCACACTATTTATTCCTCATTGCATGTAGTTTTCTCTTTGCATTCCTTAAAAGTTTGAACTTTAACATATAAACATTCCTGTTTCTCTAAATATATTCAATAATTTTCTGTAGGGAGCCCCGTCGGCTCCCTCACCAGGGAGGGCCCTGAAGCTATCCAAACTGACATGTGCGTTATTAGTTAGGGGTCATCAGTCAGAGGATTTCTTGTGCCTATCGGAGACCATGAGCCAGAACCTGGTCCTCTCTGAGAGGTGGAGGAAACAATAGCCTATGAGCACTCTACATTTAGAGTATGTCATACTTGCCATTGACCGGGGAAGGCACCCAGAAAGATAGGTGAAACAAAACAAACCCCAAGCTGGTGAAAATTGCAACTTATGTCCAAACCAAGCAAAATACATCAAACAAGTAAAACATCATCACCCTAGCCTAACCACTCATTAGCACCCTGGAAATCACCATTGGGCTTGGGGGTATCATGGATGTGTCTCCCGAGTCCTCTCTCGCCATGTGCTATGTTGTTAGTTGTTCGTTGCCCCTGCATCAGGGTGACGATCATCCGTACTGCCTCTGTCATGCTGCCTCTTGGGTCAGTGATACCTACGGGCCAGTCTTGTACTTACCTAGTTGTGCTTGCAAGAGTTGAGCTTTGGCTCTTTGGTCCCAGCTCTCAATCGTCAATCTACTGGTGTACAGATTCCTGAGCTTCTCGAGCTCTATCATATCTACATTTGAAACTGTATGTGGAGTCTGCCTCCACCACATCACTTAAACTAGTACATTCCATTTACTAACTACTCTGACACTGAAAAAGCTTTTTCTAATGTTTCTGTGGCTCATTTGGGTACTCAGCTTCCACCTGTGTCCCCTTGTGCATATACCATCTGTGTTAAACAGTCCATCCTTGTCTACCCTGTCAATTTCCCTGAGAATTTTGTATGTGGTAATCATGTCTCCCCGAGCTCTTCTGTCTTCCAGCGACGTGAGTTGCAGTTAACACAGCCTTTCCTCATAACTCGTGCTTTTTAGTTCTGGGACTAACCTAGTGGCATACCTTTGAACTTTTTCCAGCTTCGTCTTGTGCTTGACAAGGTACGGGCTCTGTGCTGGGGCTGCATACTCCAGGATTGGCCTTATACTGTATATGTGGTATACAAGGTTCTGAAGGATTCCTTACACTGGTTTCTGGAAACAGTTCTGATGTTAGCCAGCCTTGCATACTCCGCCGATGTTATTCCTTTGATGTGGGCTTCAGGAGACAGGTTTGGCGTGATATCAACTCCTAGATATCTAGGAAGCCTCCTAGATTTGGCATGATATTAACTCTCTTTCTCTCTGTCCATTTCGTGAATGACTTCATCTCCCATTCGGTATCCACTGTCCTATTTCCTCCTATTTCCTCCACCTAGTTTCATGACCTTACATTTATTTGGGTTGAACTTTAGTAGCCATTTGTTGCACCATTCCTTCATTCCTCGTGTTAGTCTTAAGGGTCTTGTTCTCAGCTTGTGCTCCACTTTACCCATTCTTCGTCTGAAGATCTCAAGGGTCAGGCAGCAGCTGAGTTGTATGCTAGATTCTTTTTGTTGCAATGGGCCTAGTTGGTTGTCTGGTTGGAAGCCCCAGAGCTGCCCCGCTTGGGTTTTAGGGCCCAGGATTTGGGGGCGTGGATCGCTTCGGCCTTGGTTCAATCTGCGCCCCCGCTTCCTTCCCAGGTGGGCATGTTTCGCCCTGCTCCTTTCCCCTTTGCTTCCGGCTCCCAACTGTCTGAAGGTGTCGGAGTCGGGGCTGAGCTTCACTTGGGTTGAGGCTCAGGTGGCTTCGGGGGTTACCCCTTCCGATTTGGGTGTGGAAGTAGATGAACCCGATTTCCCTGCTGAAGCTTCTGGGTCGCCCCAGCAGACTCACTTCTTTGAGGCTTTTTGCCAGAACTCTGCCTCTTCTTCAGGGGTGGCGAGCAGGGAAGAGGGCTCTGCCCTGGGGCTCGGGGGGAGTCCACTTTGAGCGCTTGGGCTTTTTTTGCCCCTGCTAGGGCTTTTATGCCTTCTGGGCTGGGTGTTGCTGCAAGGGAGGGGGTTTTCGTCCCCCTCTTTCCCTTCTGCATTGGTTTTACCATATTTGCTGGTGTGAATTACGGACCTTCGTGTCGGGCGCATTCATCTTTGGCTTGGATGTTTTGCTGCAGTTTCGTTGTTTATATTTTGGCGGCCATTTTGCACTCCTGGGTATGCTGTCATGATTGGCCGTCAGGGCAGCGCTGCGAGTTGTGTTTACATATGGCTGCTGGGCAATTGTGCTTGCTTTTTGGGGCGTTTTATCATTTCATTCATGTGCCCTTATTCTTACCAGTGACTGTCAATTCCCTTTCGTGTTACATATTTCTGGTTTGGGTTATGTCTGCTTTGTTAGGGGTGGGGAGGTATGTGGATTGCTCTGTGTTTCTTGCATCCCTGCTGAGGCATCCTCAGTTGATTTGATAAGTTTGTACAGTACTTATCTCACAGTACTCCCTTTGTTGTGCTTGCAGGGGTCGTTCTTCGGCTGTTTTTCTCCAGCTTGTCGGGTTTGGGTTTCTTGTAACTTGGCTAAAGTTCCAGTTGGTTCCATCTCAGGTTCGGACTTAGTTGGGCTTCGTGTGGGATTCTTGGACGGTCTCCGTCTCTCTCCCTCCTGCATTGCTCTGGCTGCGGTCCTGCCTTCAGCTGTTTTTTGAGGGGGGGTCCCGGGTCACTCGAGTAGTTGTTCGGGTGCCTCAACTTTGTCATGCTGATTTCCCCTCTGGGCAGGGTTGGCTTCGTAGGCTGTTTTGGTTTCTTAAGGGCAGCTCCTTTTACACTCTTGTGACTGCTGGGTTCATTTCCCTGGGTCCTTACGTCGGTTGCTGAGTCTCCAGCTTCCTCTTGGGGTTTTTCGGAGTTCGGTGCTAACTGCGGGCCACTGGTTTGGTGTCAGTGGTTGTGCTTTGGGTGTATCCTGCTTCGATGGTTCCTTGTTCCAGGGACATGTGTGTCTCAGGTTGTCCGCAGTGTCTTAAAGTCTGGCCAGCCTGCGGTCTACCCTTGTGCCCATGATATATGGACGTATGCTGCTTTGGCTTCTGTCTTTGGGAATATGTCTTGGGTCGACATTCAGGCGCAGGGGTTTTGGAGGTCAAAGAGGGTCCTAGCCATCAGGTGTCTTGTTAACATTCCATGCCCTCTCTTGCCTTGTGTTGCTTTGGGACGTCTATAGCGGCCTGTTGTCTCATCTTTGTCTTGAGACCTGCGATGCTGCCGCCTCCCGTGTAAGTCCGTTTTTACTTATCTTCAGGTAGTCAGCTTCAGTTAGCACAGAAAACCAGCGTTGAATGTAATGAAACGGCATTTTCTGGGAGAGCCCTGGAGGCTACCTGACACCCTCCCTCCCTCTCTCTCCGGTTGGCGGTTTTCATCATTCTCGGACAGAGGGGTAAGTCGACGGCTCACCTGAGCAGGCTTCCCCCACCTCTCGGGGAGTGGGGAGGCCCCTAACAAGTGGTTAGGCTTTGGGGATATTTTACTTTTCTTTTCTTTTGGGGGGAGTTATTTTGCTTAGTTCGGACATAGGTTGCAATTTTCACCAGCTTGGGGTTTGTTATGTTTTGTTTATCTTTCTAGGTTCCTTCCCGTGTTGCTGGCAAGTATGACATGTTCTAAATGTAGAGTGCTCATAGGCCATTGCTCTCTGTGCCTCTCTGAGGGGACTAGGTTCTGGCTCTTGGTTTCTGGCAGGCACAAGAACTCCGGTGACTGATGACCGGAGTCATCAGTCATCATCAATGTATTAATATTGCACATGTCAGTTTGGATAACTTCAGGGAGCCTCCGGGGCTTGCCTAGAAAATGGTGTTTCATTCCACTCAACGCTGTTTTTTTTTATTTAACTTCAGTGTATTATAGTAAAAAAAATTGTTTTACTGTGGTATATTTTTGTTTGTTTTCTTTCCCTCAAACCCATTTCCTATTTCTAATCAGTTTTCATTATATACTTTTGGTACTTTTATATTTGTAATTTTGGTGAACTACTTGTTCACTAGTAACACCTAAGTTTTTTAATTGATCATTTCTGTTTACAGAGATACCATACTCCATCACCATCCAGGAGTCGTTCTCGCAGCAGGACACCGCCACATTGGCGACAAGCCCAAAGACGTACTATCTCCTATGATCAGTTGCAGGTAATTAACCTTTGGATTTGCCAAACATTTCATAATAGGTACCCCAAAATGGAATGCCCCCCCTCTCCCTCCACCAGAAAAACCATAGAATGCAGTGAAGCCCCAGTAGCTCCCTGAAGATGTCTTGCTGAAATGGCTCCTATTATTAGGTCTCATCAGTTGTAGGATTTCTATTTGGCCTACTGGGAAACCATAGCCAAAACCTGCCCCCCCCCCCCTCCCCTCACAGAGATACAGAGAGTGAGTGGCATTCTACCACCCCATAAGAAAAGCATCCAGCAAGTAGTGAAGCATTACAGACCACTGCAAGGTGCACAGTAAATGAAGCCTCGAAACAGCCAAACAACTCTCGAAACAATTCAAAACAATGATTGAAAATTGGGCAAATGCGTTAGCACTGATAACCACCACCACCAGGCGGCCCAGAAACTAAGCCAGTCCTCTCCACCAACCCTTCCAGGTCAGTTCTGGAGCAGATAAACAACAAAACACCAATGAACTAACATATCAGCGATACTAAGATGTGAGGAACAACTACACGGCAATGAGGAGATAGGCAAAAAGAAATTTTGAAAAAGGGATTGTGGATAAATGTAAAATGGAACCAGACCTATTCTATAAATTCATAAACAACAAATTGCAGGTAAAGGATAATATTCAGAGATTGAGAATGGGAAACAGATTCAGGGAAATGTAAAGGAAATGTGTGAAACATTAAATGAAAAATTCCAAAGTGTGTTTCTACAAAACGAAATCTGGGAACCAGACACAATAAGAATTCCAGAAAATAACATAAGAGCACATAGAGGTGTCTAGAGACGAAGTGAAAAACCGTTCATGGAACTAAGTAAGAACAAAGCAGTTGGTCCAGATGGAGTTTCGCCATGGGTTCTGAGAGAATGTTCACCTGTGCTCAGCATTCCACTTCACCTGATCTTTCAGGCATCCCTGTATACAGGAGTCGTAGCAGACGTGTGGAAAAAGGCTAACATAGTTCCAATGTACAAAAGTGGCAGCAGGAAAGACCCCCTCAATTATAGACCTGTATCATTGACAAGTGTGTTAGTCAAAATATTGTAAAAAATAATTCAAAGAAAATGGGTAGAACACCTGGAGAAAAACTATATAATGTCAGACAGACAGTATGGTTTTCGATCTGGAAGATCCTGTGTAACGAATTTACTCAGTTTCTATGATCGAGCCACAGAGATTTTACAGGAAAGAGATGGTTAGGGGTGACTGCATCTATCTGGACCTAGAAAAAGGCTTTCGACAGAGTTCCACATATGAGATTGTTCTGGAAACTGAAAAATATTGGAGGGGTGACAGGTAAGCTTCTAACATGGATGAAAAATTTTCTAACTGATAGAAAAATGAGGGCAGTAATCAGAGGCAATGTATCGAACTGGAGAAATGTCACAAGTGCAGTACCACAGGGTTCAGTTCTTGCACCGGTGATGTTCATTGTCTACATAAATGATCTACCAGTTGGAATACAGAATTATATGAACATGTTGACCAGACCACACACTAGAAATTGAAGGGACGACGACGTTTCGTCTACTCTACACAGACGCCGTCTTGTAGAATCGGCTCTTATTAACAATGTACCCAACATGAACTTGAGTCCTGGCTTTGTTGCTGTGGACTCTTCCCTTTCACAGTATATACTCAAATGCTCTAATCTTTCTAACAAACGTGACTTAACATAAGCTTTCCCCCTTCCATTTCTTTCTTTCTCTTTCCCTTTCTTTCTCTCTTCTCCCTTTTTCTGTTCATTGTCTTCTACGCTCCCTTACTATCCTCTTCTTATTCCTATTACTATCTCCTTCGGTGGTTATAATAGGAGCTGCCTCGTATGGGCCAATAGGCCTGCTGCAGTTCTCATTACTACTATCCCCTACACCTGACTTTCCTCCTCAGCTCTCTCTTGCCTATTTAATGCCTGTCCCTACCTACCCTCATCACAATCGACTTGAGAATGGTCCAGGACGGACCGAAACGTCGTCGTCCCTTCAATTTCTAGTGTGTAGTCTGGTCAACATACTTCAGCCACGTTATTGTGACTCATCGCCTGCATTATATGAACATGTTTGCTGATGATGCTAAGATAATAGGAAGGATAAGAAACTTAAATGATTGTCATGCCCTTCAAGAAGACCTGGACAAAATAAGTATATGGAGCACCACTTGGCAAATGGAATTTGATGTGAATAAATGCCATGTTATGGTATGTGGAATAGGTGAACATAGACCCCACACAACCTATAAACTATGTGAGAAATCCTTAAAGAATTCTGATAAAGAAAGAGATTTAGGGGTGGTTCTAGGTAGAAAACTATCTCCTGAGGACCACATAAAGAATGTTGTGCGAGGATCCTATGCCACGCTTTCTAACTTAAGAATTGCTATTAATTTAAATACATGGATGGCGAAATACTAAAGAAATTGTTCACAACTTTGTTAGGCCAAAGCTCGAATATGCAGCAGTTGTGTGGTGTCCATATCTTATGAAGCACATCAACAAACTGGAAAAGGTGCAAAGACATGCTACTAAGTGGCTCCCAGAACTGAAGGGCAAGAGCTTCGAAGAGAGGTTAGAGGCATTAAATATGCCAAAACTAGAAAACAGAAGAAAAAGAGGTGATATGATCACTACGTACAAAATAGTAACAGGAATTGATAAAATTGATAGGGAGGATTTCCTGAGACCTGGAACTTCAAGAACAAGAGATCATAGATATAAACTAGCTAAACACAGATGCCGAAGAAATATAAGAAAATTCACTTTCGCAAACAGAGTGGTAGGCGGTTGGAACAAGTTAGGTGAGAAGGTGGTGGAGACCAAGACCGTCATTAGTTTCAAAGCGTTATATGACAGAGTGCTGGGAAGACGGGACACCACGAGCATAGCTCTCATCCCGTAACTACACTTAGGTAATTACATTTAGGTAATTACGTACGTGTGCACACACGCACGCGTAGTGAATAGACCTACTGTGGTTCATCTGATAGCAGCAGTTGATGTTTTGGTTAACATAGATTGAAAGTAAATAGGAGATGTAAAATGACATCCATAATGTATTTTAAATTTGGTTTGATGGAAGGCGACTTTTTAATCCCCCTTTGCCATAAATATCGAAAATGGGAATAAACATACCATAACAGAAAACGGTCTTATACAGGGAAGATGAAGACTTGATGACGTCATTGACCATTGGTGATACCTGTTCAGAATCACTGAGGTAACGAAATATTAGTGCGATGACAACCTGCAGTTTAATCCCCTTGAGCGAAATAGTTGGGGCTAGAAGGGAGCAGTTTTAATTAACGTTTTTGGAAAATTTATATGATGGATGGGAGCAGACAATAAATGAATGAAAATATTAGGAGACTACGAGGTACTGATGAATAAAAATTGAAAAACATGCCCTGGACTAGAGGCGACCATCGGGAAAAATGAAAACACCCCTGCTACTATGTCTGGCATGGGGAAAAAAATATGAAAACACCCCTGCAACTATGACATGGGGGAAAAGCAAGATTGCCGGTCATAGGGGTCATTTCCACTACTGTACTACTAAGTGGACGTAGTAGTGTTCTTCCACTACTAGTAGTGGAAGAAGACTCACCGAGCGGCAATTTTGCTTTATTCCCATGCCGGTCAGTGAGTTGTGATTTTTTTTTCCGTGAAACAGTGACTGCCGGTCAGTGAGTCGTAATTTTTTTCCATGGATGTCGAAGGCCGGACACTGAGTCGTGATTTTTTTCCGTGGATTTCAACGGACGTTCTTTGGCCCCTGCCATTTTGCTCAGGGGGATTAAACTGCAGGCTTCGGTCACACCCAAATTTCGTCATCCTGGAGCCAGAGCACACGACTTTTGCCTATAGCATCAGCCTCAAGAACTGACGTGTGGGTAGCCGGCATGAAGGGTCTGGTGCTCTCCCTTCCCCCTCCCGGGGAGGGGGGAGCTGCGCAGACAGCTGCGTGGCGACGTGTGACGTCATACTAGTTTGCTCGTTTTCTGTTGGGAAGTTCTATCCACTAGTTCGGCTTTTGGTAGCAATTTTAACCAGAATAGGGGTTTGTTTTGGGGCGCTTACCTTTCTGGGTGCCTGATCCAGTCGATGGTAGACATAGAATGCTTCCAACCACACGAGGGTTTTTATAGGCCATTGCTCCCCTTGCCTCTCTGAGGGGGCCCAGTTTTGGCCGTGGTCCCCGGTAGGTCTAAGAACTCTATACACATGACTGATGCCAAAGTCTGACATTAGCATATCAGCCTGGGATAGCTCTGGGGAGCCTCCGGGACTCGCCCAGAAAATGGGGTTTCATTACATTCAATGCTGGTTTTTTTCTTTGTGAGTTAATTTTTAACTAGATATTGACCCTCGGTGGGACTAAAATGTCCCAAAAGGTGCCTTAGATGAAGGATTAAGGTAAATAAAATTAAAAAAAATAAAATACAAAATAAGTATATTAGTAAAATTCAACCCTCTACCCATTCCTTTTAAATATGCCGAGATGTACTCTTATTTCAATAACTTGTCTAGCATAAAGTAATTCATTTATATTTTATTTCCTATCCAGAAATGGAATGAGGAAAAGGTGAGAAGAGAGCAAGAGAGACTCCTAAGGCAGGAAGAGCGGGAGCAAGAGATTGAGGAAAGACGGCAAAGACGAGAACAGCGTCATCGTGAAATGGAAGAATGTGAAGGGAAAGAGATTGAAAATATCAAGCGAGGGGATCCACTCCAACGAGAACAAGCGATGAAGGGTGACTGGCGAGATTCCAGAGAAAAAGTAAAGAGAGATTTTAGAGATGGGAGAAATCAGCAAGTTTGGAGAAATGGAAAGAATAGGCAACGTGGAGAACAAGACTGGCGTGAAGATCGAGAAAGAACTCGAACTGAAGAAGACTGGAGAGAAGGAAGAAACAAAGAACAGTGGAATGACAGAGAAGAAATTGGCCACCAAGATCTCAGGGAAAAGTTACGTAACCAACGTAAAAAAATGGAATCATGTATAAATGACAAGTAAGTTTATAATATAGTACAGTACTGTATTTTATTCCTGGTGGTGTCTTTGTGAGTAAATGAGTTTGTTCCATTTATCTTCCCCCACATGTCCCGCTTTCTCTTCCTGTTCTTAAACACCTACTGAACTCCTTGCTGGAGCCTGTGCTCCTGCTGGGTGATTTTAACCCTTAAAGTGCGCATCACGTCATATGACGCGTTGGAGTACTACGCAAGATTTAAACGGCCCGCGGATACATGGGTTTCACCACACCTTCATCAGGGCTCTTGTAAACAGACGCCATTTTTTAAAAAAATCGTGGGCCAAACTCCCGGGTGTTATTGGCCTCAGTATTGAGTGAGCAACCAAGCCTGACGCACGCAGCATGAGCTAACAGCACTGTTGTTCAGCTTGTGACCACAGCATCGCCTAAAAATGCCAAAATATACTTGTTCATGCTATTATGTAGCAATGATATTATTACAGAAGACCCCTGACTGATAAAACTGACCAGGGTTCTGATAATAGGATTGTGGTGATATTTAGCGCTGTGCGCCATGGAGGGAGGGTGGTGGTGATGTCTTCTGACAGTGTGTGGCCACCTTTTATTGACTGCACTCACCATACCAGCTTAGTGGTTTGCTATGGTGAACACAAATGTAGATACTTATATATAACGTGTGTATAGAGGGTATAAACAGCAAGAGAAGGTTGGGAGCCGCCATTTTGGTGAGGGCGGTGGCATCGTCTGCACGACGCCACCGTGCAGACGACGGTGTTGTTTACTGGTTACCACGATGGTCTTTGGGCACCATACCAGTTTACCTGTACAAGTATGGTGAATAAAACAGGTAGATATTTATATATAATGTGTGTATATAGCGTAATAACACCACACAGTATTGTTGGAGGAGAAATATTAGTGCGTCTGGCCTTGAAGGCGGCAGCCATCAGCTGACTGTGTGAGGTCCTACGTCTTTGTGCCTTTACTCACCATACAAGCTTAGATGTACAGTTATGGTGAACAAAACATGTAAATACTTATATATAATGTCTGTATATAAAAGCAAAAACAGTATGGTGGGTGGAGAATGGTGGCAAGTCAGGTGAGGTGAGGTGTAACGGGGGGGTGGGGGAAATAGCTCTATCTTGTCCATTATTCCACCCCCCAGTTAACTAACGAGGCCGGGGGAAACAGCTCTCTCTAGTCCGTTATCCCGTCCCCAGTTAGCTAACTATTCTAGAGCACTCCCAGAGTTCCTAAGGCAGCCTCTCTCGTTCAACACCTTGTAACCTAGGTATTTGACTACCTAGGTGCTAAGACTACAAGGCGCCGTAACTGGATCCGCTACCCGAAACTCTAGGGAGAACTCTAGAATACATAATCATTGCCCCAAACGTATAAAGGAAAACGAAAGGAAAGAAATGAATAGTGAAGTAATTAGTGAGGGTGTGGGGTGAGAGGCAGAGAGGTCGGAGGAGCGAGGAGGGTCATTGGTTGAAAGTGAGAGTTTAGAGAGGGGTGGAGGGAGAGGTGTAGATAGGTAGAAGTAGAAGAGTAGAAAGTAGAAGTAGAAGAGTAGATAGTAGAAGACGAAATGCTGCCACCATCCATTCTAGGCCATTACATACAAGACAAGGAATGGAACTTGTCTGTATCACAAAATTCTCAAAAGATGTTATCAAGGTCATTATTGATATGTCCCATCTCTATCCTGTACTCATTCTAAACCATGAAACCAGTAATTACAGAGGCTTTCTCACCTCAACTCAAAATTTCTAGGAACACAGTGAAAGACCATTTAAATAATAAATTCAACAATTATATTTTTCATGATAAATATCATAACTTAAGCAATCCAATTAAAATGTTAAAGATTAATATTCAAAGTGAGTCATCCTCCAAGAATCTGAGAACACTACAACTGACTGCCCCTGATCATCACACAACACTTGTAAAACACGACCAAGTCACCTTAATGTTCAACTCACCAAGTGCCTGCCTATAGCTGGATAGAGAGTGGGGGGGAGTCTGCAGCTGTCAGGCAGCGTCACCCCCGTTCGACCGACAGCCTGTCTCGGCTGTTGTCCTCCTGCTCTGCTGCCTGGTCTTCTGTCTTGTTAATGCTTAATGCTGCCGAATCGATAGCTCTCCGAGTATATATTGGGGGAACCTAGTAGCTAACTCCGCCCACAAGTAGATAGCCTCCGGCTCTCTACCAAGCCACTCCTTAAACGTCGGCATGTTTGAAGGCTACCAGGCTCCAATTATGAGATTAGTAGAAGTAAGGTGAAATTCGCATGATCTGACCTCAGGTCACTTGGTGTCATTAACTCTTCGAGGTGTGAAACTCAGGCCGACCAAGCTGGCGCCTTCCCAAATTCTTGTCTCTGACTCATATACTATATATATTTTAAATAAACTAAACCAAACACTTTACAGTGTTACAGAGGGAGGGAGGGAGTGGCAGCCAGTGGCGGGCTGCCACTGCCACTCAGCATACCAACTTAGTGGCTCGTTATGGTGAACACGAATGTAGATACTTATATATAGCGTCTGTATATAGTGAATAAAAGCAAAAACAGTATTGTTGGAGGAGAATGTCGGTGAGTCAGGTGACTTGAGGGAGGGAGGAAGTAGCAACCAGTGGCTGGCTGCCACTGGCACTGCCACTCAGCATGCCAACTTAGTGGTTCGTTATGGTGAACACGAATGTAGATATTTATATATAACGTCTGTATATAGTGAATTATAGCAAAAACAGTATTGTGGGAGGAAAATGTGGGTGAGTCAGATGACTTGAGGAAGGGCGTGAGTGGCTGGTTGGTACACGGCGGTCACTCCTCGTTACTTTTTGACTCATAATAGCTACTTAGTGGTTCGTTATAGTGAACAAAACATGCAGATACTTATATATAACCTGTGCTTATAGTGTAATAACCGACAAAGTATTTGTTCACTGATTGATGAACATAATTGAATCAACAATATGCACACCATATTTTTGAGCACAGCAATGATTCACTTATTTTATTATATAAATATATCAAACTACACACTATTGAATAACATTACAGCAAAAAAACTATGAAAAATCAATCAGAGACATTGAAATAATTAGGTAATTATCTCTCTGTGGCAACTCCGGCCTGACAGCTGGCGATCAACAGACTGCCTGGGACGCACGCTGAGTCAGCACATATTTTTTTGCCAGACTTCCCCGCCCTATAGCGGGTAATATATGCCACTTACGATTTTTTTTTTTTATATTTCCCGTGATCAGTGAACACAAATTAACAGGTTAGGAAGAAAAAATAATTTTTTTTTTTTTTTCAAAGTTACATGCGCCTGTGGGGAAGAAAGGATATTATACCCCTAGCATGTTAAGGGTTAACCCTTAGACTGCGCAATACATACATACTGTACATGATTGGACAAAATAATTTAACATAAGTTTTTAAAACTTGCACAAACACCTTCCAATTTTTTTGCATAATCAACTAGGCAAATGCTCCAACTTTGTCTAAATGATGACAGCGTAACTTAAAAAACAAGAGAATCAAAATTAATTTTAAAATTGAATATTGAAAACTTCAGATTTTCAATTCAGAAAAAAAAATATGAAGTATCACCAATTGTTCATTTAATGTTATTATTCTCTCAGAATAGCATTTAATCTTCATTTTCATTAAATTAGCATATAGGTTTTCAGTACAGTTTACTGTAAAAAAAAAACGTCAATAGGGCATTTGAAATATGCGGCAAATTTAGACCAAAAAAATTGTAACTCCAAATGTATAAAGTTTATGAAAAATCCATTCTGAAGAGATTGTAGAACAGACAGCTGAGCACACAATATGTCAAAATAGGAGAATCGGTTAAAAACTGTAATTTTAGAAACCACTCAAAGTTGAAACTCTAGTTTCAGAGATAATTGCAGTTGAAGTTATCAACAATGAATAAAGGTAGTTTTAATTCATTAATTTAATTGTATGTTTTAATAAACATTGTTTGGCATTCGTACTCGAATATGTGAAAGTTGTAGGTCAATATGTGTTGAAATGAAGCCAAGAAAAAATAACCCAAATACACAATATAGGGATAATTATAATAATTATAATGATTTAGGGTATATATTTAGAGTATACTTTATATAAGTGAAAAAGCCCTAATATGGTCCCTAATCATCAAAACAACCTAAAGAGACAAAGAAAATAGAGTTTGAAATCAGATAAAAAATCAGCCAAAAAAAATTATAAGTACCAAGTTTTGCGAGTTGACTGATTTATTTGTTGACCAATTTCATTCTGTCTGCAGATAGTTAGGGAAACATATGCATTCTCCAGGATGTAAAGGTTACAACAAAATCAGATAATAAACAAAGTCGAAAAAAAACTGAAATCTTAAACAAAAATTGTTTTTGGGACATTGATGAAAGTAACATATATTAACATTGGACAATGTATTTATATGATATATAACAAAATAGAGCATATTAACATAGTTATTCATTATTATTTGTTTTATTATGTATTACTTAGAAATGATTTAAAGGCACCAACTGCAAATCCACTTTGTGGACACTTCTTACTACTATTCTTCTTTGAGCGTTGGACAGGTGCTTGCATCTCTTTATTACTGCATAATCCTTCAGTTCCAGTTATTAGGAGCTGTTATCCTTATCAACAAAATGTTCTTATTTTTTTTAAATTTGTCTAAAATCAATTTCTGAAAATATTTTGATGAAAGTTTCATGACACTGAAGTCAATAAGTAAGAGATTTGTTTAACATTTTTAAGTTATTTTTACATAATTTGAATATTTTTCACTACCATGCTCCCAATATGCGCGGTAATATATGCAGTCTAAGGGTTAATTGTCAACATACCCTCTGGGGTGATGTTCTGACAAACACCCGGGGGTCGCCTTTTTGAATCGTTCGTCTTCTCTTCTCTTCTTCCCTGTCTCTTCTGAATTCTGGTGAACCCACTCATTTGGACTCGCGAACTCGCACCCTTT